GTGCTTACATGATACTTGCAATCTTAAAGAACATCTGAGGGTAATTTTTTTTTCTTTTTTTTTTTTTCTGGCTTAAATTAGGCAAAAGCTTTAAGATCTACCTTGATATTTATTCTGGTCTTATGTGATCTAAACTATCAAAGGATTTCCATATGCATGGACTCATTAAAGACCTCCAAGGACAGTATATTTGTGTTTAAGCTTCCCTCAAAATCTGGTGGCCAGGGTTGTTTGTAGGGACTGTGAAGAGCTTTGGCATCCTTTCGGCAGCAGCGTGGGCAGTGCTGAGAAGAGCATGTTTTTTCGGGATTTTTCCTTGGTAGTGCCATACTGACACAAGAAACACATCCCCTACAGAGTCGCGAAGCAGCTTCGCCCGTGACGTGGGTCTGGAGATGTCTGGGGGAGCACTGGCAGATCAGAATCATGCCTTGTGGGGGTTTTGGGGCCCAGCGCTGAGCTGGTAGCAGGGATATTTGGGGGTGGCACCCTGTTGGGTTGAACCCTGGTGATGGCAGCCAGGTTGCACAGTGCATGTTGGCCATAGGATGTCAGCGGTGTTTTCATACCCAAATACTGTGTCCCATGCCCACTGCAGGGGTGAGTGTCCAAGGCAGTGCGTCCTGCCCATCTGCATGGGGCTGGGTCCTCGGGCTGGCGCAGTTGTCATAAGCGTGGCTATTTCTGCATGTCTTGGCACCATCTCATGGGGATGTGCCCAGCGAACACACAATGGACAGCTCGACATCCTGGAATCGGGACGGGATGGTGTTTGGTTGTGAGGTTTTTTTGCATCAAACCCTCCCTTCTGCTTTGCCTTGGTCCCAAAATCAGACCAGAGGAGCGCAAGGAGGGACTCGGTGCTGGAGACGCGTTGCTCAGGGCTGCTGCAAGGGCTTTGTATGCCCCAAATCTGCTTTTTCCCAGACTATACGCACTCACCTAAGCAAACGTATTTGCTACCTTGCCAGGCCCGGGTGTTAAGGAGGGAGTCTCAGTTAGACCACAGTATAAAAAGGCTGATTTAAGGCTATTTTAGCGTGCTGTTTGCCGTGCAGTCTCCCTGGTTTAAGACTGGATAGTTCCCCTTCTTGTATGGAGTGATGGCTTAAAAACTCTCAGTACTGTTGGTGGGGCACCTGAGCGGAGAGGGGGCTTAGCAGGAGTCTCCCGATGGTCATGCCTTTTTACCATTGAACATATATATTCCATGCTCACTAAAGACAGACTTGCTGAGCTAATTGTAATGGTATGTGGGTCAGCGCGCGGCACTCCTGAGCGCCGGCTGCCTTGATTTCTGTACTTACTCCTGGTTTGCACCTAATTGAGAAGGGAATTGGATTGTACGGGTTATAGCTTTTAAAAATGATATACTTTTGACAAATATGCAGACGTGCAAATAAAACTACAAGATGCAGCATAGATTCCCTCACTTGCTCATAGCCCGCAGGCTTTATTGGACCCTACAGACTTTACATAATTTTGGCATTATTCCTTCTTCATTATGTCATAGATGTGAAGTAGAGACAGGGTCATTCTGTCCTGTGTTGTGGTCATGTACTGCATTCAAATTTTCTTTTTCTTTTTCTTTTTCTTTTTTTTTTTCTGAGGGGGCAGGCTGCGTTTGAACAGGTTTCAAGCATTTTAAGCATGGATGTACATAAGAATGTATATATTCTGTATATCAAGCTTTTCCCTGGAAGACACAGTCTTATGGTAAGGTAAATCTGATTTTCCCTTGCTCTCGGATGGTGAGTTAGATGCAGTGTGCTCGGAGGACTGAGACACGTGCTGTCTGCCTCAGTTCAGCACAAGAGACTTAAGACTTTGGAAAGCTGCTCCCCATCACAGGAGCCGCAGTCCCAACCTCAGCTTGTCTGTGCCTCGTTTCTCTTCATTACCTGAAAATGGTTTCCAGCACTAAGAATAGTTTCCCAAATTTGCAATGGTATGAGCTTGTCATTGCAAGTGGTGCAACGAAAGCTGGGATCTTGGTCCCCTCGGAGAGCGTTTTCCACAGCCTTTCCAGTGGCGGCATTTTCCTTCTAACCTTGGTTTGGCTCCAGCACCGTCATTAGCAAATCGACTCCTCCAACCTGTGGGTTTTGTCTCATCCGTTTCCTCTTGAACACAGCAGCAGCATCACTACTGCAAGATGGATCAAGTCTGTCCACTGTGTTTATGGCCAGTTCTGCTTTGGAAACATTTATCAAGTGCCTTGTCCTTCTGCACCTTAATGGGATTTTCCTCTACTGCTTAATTTATCTTACTGGTCTTCAGGATTTTGCGATAGATGCTATGTGAGCCTTAGACTTCTCAGGTGCCTTCTTTCTCTCGTCTTTTCCTATGCTCTTCTGGCTCCCATCCTCCCACTCCCAGGAAATATTTGCAAGATAATTTGACATATTTTCTGCCACCTTCACATATCTCCCTGACTTCATGTTTTCTTAGCTGGAAGATAGCTTTTCAACATATATATGTAATCCTTTTCACCTAGACATGTGAGGAATTCCAGTCTCTTCCAGTGGGAGTTTTCAGGAAGGTTTAGGTTAAATGGGCCAATAAGGCAAAAGCATGTAGCAGAAGATCTTACCCTCCAAAGACATCTTTTTTCTTTTTTCTTTTTTTTCTGGAAAATATATCAGAATATCTAGCTGTCAAAGAATTTAAACAATAATACCTGATCTGGAGGCTAGAGTGCAGGGCTTTTAAAAATAAAGATCGTAATCTCCCTATAGCGCGTCCAGGGAGTAATGGAGTTGAAAGCAGCGCGCCCGGCGGGGTGAGCTGGCTGCACGGTGCCACGGGGCCACTGCTCTGCATTGTCCCACTTGTTTCCTCTGAGGAAATTTTACTTGGGTAAAATTTGCTTCATTTTCTTTCCTCACGCCTCTTTTGGGGCTGCGATACATTCGCTGCAGGGTCAAACAAGAAACAATCTGAGGCCAATTTGTGCTTATTGAGATGCTGCTGGTGGTGACTGAACTTTGTCGCAGCAGAAGCAGGTAGGAGGCCTCAGGATCAGCTTCTGCTGGATGATCATCTGCAGCACCAAAACTCTTGTTGCCGCATTCGAGGGTCCTGGGCTGCGAGTCATCCCAGGTAATTTTGGCTGTCTATAGTTGGACTTGTTGTCCAAGCTCACCGTCAAGGCTGTAAAGGGAGCCTTTAGCTGGAAGCCAATGGAGCAGTGAATCTAATCGCAAAGCCATGCTGATCCTTTGGGAAAGGAGGAGGATGAGGAGCCCTAAAAATAGGAATGTTTCTAGCAATCAAGCAAGCTTGAGACTCGCGCTTTTGCAGGATGGGTGCCCGTGGTTTGGCGGGGTCACCGGTGCCCTGGCCTTGAGTCAAGCCCATGGGCTCCCGCCACGGGGATCAGAGGCAGCGGGCCGAGCTCCTGGCTCCCCACCACACCACGGCAGGAGGGTCTTGGTGGGATGGTGTGGGATGGGGTTTTGAACGGCGGAGGTGGCGCATGGCACTTTGGCCCATCTGCTGCAGCTTGGTCTGAGTTGCGGTGCAGAGCCGTGAGGGGTTTAAGTGCAGGCATAACCTTTGCCGTGCACGGGAAGGTGAGTCCCGCTTACTTGTAAATTGTGACATTATTTTATTAGATCTTTAACCTTTATTTAAATTCTTTATTTAAAGGAGGAGGGGGGGAGGAAGGTATCATATTTTAATTAGCAGCAGTGTCAAAGGAGACCTAGATTAATTATTTGAAATCACTCCATCCAGATGGTTTTAATTTTCACAGCAGGGAACCGGCATCTTTTTCAAGGTGATATTTTTCAAATTAAAATCAGCTTGGATATTGCTCACACGGGCTGCCGGTGCGCTCCGCGCTCGCTAATCCGTGTACACGCGGCCCCCGGCGCGCGCTCGCCCTTGCCGCAGCGGTTTGTGGACGTCAGGCTGCCCAAAGGTATCGTCTGGTATCTGACGGTATTTTTAGTTGCTTGGGTAGCGGCGCTGAGACCTGGATGGACAGGGGACACCTTGCAGCGGAGATGCCGTGGTTCCGGAGCGGGGGTGAGCAGGGACGCTCCTGCGTCCTGTCTACACGTTGTCAAGCCAGGCCCGTTGGTGGTCCCCTGTTCCCCTGCATTACCCAGCAGACCTGGGGATGGCTCCTTGGAGCTCCTATGGTTGGCCATGGCGCTTGGGCCAAGGTTTGGGGTCTCTGGCCCCCGTGGATAGAGGCTGCTGTGCCCTCCCTTGTGGGTTGGCCATTAGTCCCACAGGCTTTGCGTGTGGCAGGAGTCGCTGCCCTACAAGTGGCCGTGCTTGGGTGGCCTTTGTGAGCTCCAGGCAGGGAGAGCTCCTCTGAGCAGCCTCCCTGAGCTCCTCTGAGCTCCTGGTTTTCACCAGGGCGTTCACCGTCCTGGTCAGCCTCCCTTTGGATGCCTCTCTTGGCCCAAGTGTCCCCTGCCCCACTGCAGCTCTGCTCAGCTTTAGACCCTTCCTGCGATGCCGTATTTGTGGCCCATGGAGCAATTCCTCACTGCGGTGCCTCCTGGGCAGGTGGGGAGACGAGGCCTGCGGCGCTCGCTTATCATCAACGAGCCGGCCTCCATCCCAGATATCCAAAACCGTGGATGTGTTTCTGAAAGACGTGGATAAATGCACATACTTATGTGTGTTTGTAAGCATTATACTGATATAACACAGGCATTTTCCCATTTGCAGTCAGAAATGAGTTATTCTTTAAATATCCCCTGTAATGATAAAGGAAAACATATATATCTAAATAAATGTAAACAGGTAGTAATTGAAAATCCTGAACTTGTGGATGTGATTGAGCTGCAAAAGGAAGACTTCATTTAGGACACTCGCAACTTAAAGGTTTGTGATATTTGCACTGCTGCAGAAGTGAAAAGTTGACTTTACAAGTGGGAAAAATGTTAATTTGTTTGAATGAAACAAACTCCTATTTCTACCCCCATGGTAAATCCTTACAGGGAGCATATTTGTTCTCAGAGGGTTTTAAAGTTTGAAATATGAATGCCAAAAAGAATGTGACTTTCTGCACCCCGAGGAAGCGCTCTGCGGAGTTTGGCAAACGCAGGGTTTCCACGGGGAGACGCGGCTCGTACAAACGTGAGAATTGCCAGAGCAGGCGCGTGGATTTGCACTGGCTGACACTCACACATTCCTGCGCTGCGTTTCGCCCGTGTCTACGATCTCCCCTGCATGTTGGAGGTGGATCTGAACCAAAACGTCCAGTCCACATGTTCCTGCCTCTCTGGGGAGATCTGTGGAATCTGAACCTGGGGCACGATTGGAATTTGCGTTTAGATCCCAATTCCGAAGGGAGTTGGAAGAAAGCTCTGAATTCAGACGGGTCCAGGTTTCTGTGATGATGGCTGGCAGCGTGTGACGTTCAGCTGGCAGCCTGGCAGGTTAAGCCGTGTTGGGGCAGGTGGCACATTAAGGTGCAGAAGTTCATCCTCTGCCACGGCTCCTGCAAGTGCTGCAGACCAGTCACCTTATGTGACTGGCCCTATTTCTCCCAGGCAGGTCAAGGGTTGTAGGCTCAGCTGAGCTAGATTTTGCCACAGAGCAATCATTGACCTTCTGGGAGCAGGTTTGTACATGCAAAGGCTTCCTAGAGTGCAGGTGCTCATTATAAAGCCTGACTAGCAGCAGGCTTCTCCCTTTCTCGCTGTCTCAGTGACTTCTAGGAGGCCTGAAGAGCAGGGTGCTGGTTTGTCCCTCCAGCACGTGGCTGGGACACTTGCAAAGTCTTTGAGGCTGCTGCCAGGGAAAAGGGAATTTGGTTCTTGGATCTGCCTCCGCAAGGCCGTAACCCGCAGCCTCGGCGCGGGGGGTCCCTCGGGCTGCTCCGCACCGGTGCCTGAGCGGTGTTGGGTGGACGAGCGGTGCGTGTCCGTGCACCAGGCCAGACCAAGCCTGCGGATGGGGCTCTGGCTTCCCAGGCTTGGCGTGGCACGGGAGAGAGCAACTTTGATGTGACCACCCTGGTAAACGCTTTGTTTTCTTCTTCTTCCTTTCCAACCCC